TGAGCTGACGGGCAGTTCAGGATATTTGTGGATATATGTATATATGTTTTGCCACGCTGTTATTCCGTTAAAACTTTCAGTACTTAAACTCAACTTTTGATCCGACACTAGTCGGTTAATATATTATAACCGTTTTAATATCAGTTTAAAAATTTAACGGTTTTCAGGAAAGTCAAGTTTTTCACGGTAGCACTCCGAATCAATTTTCGCAAAATAAATATTTTATTTATTTATTCAGAAAATTTGCGAAAAACGCGTACTCTGATTTCAGTAAAAAGTCGGGGTGTTACAATATGCACTGCTAAAGATTAATATATAAGTTAATAGTTTATATTTATATCATTATTTTCATTAATGATAAAATTTATAAAATGTTATATGCTTATTATCTAACTTACAATTTTATATATTACATACACATATATAATATATAAAATTTTATTTATATCTGTGTACGTAAATATCGAATACTAGCAAAGTTAATTGAAAAAAAAAAAAATCAATTCTCCCTACTTGGGCTAGTTTATAATTTACAATAAGTTCGAGGCTATAATTGTAACAACACGCAGCCTGCCGACCCACGTGTTTATAATTTTCATTTGTTCTTCGTTTAACCTTCTCAATTAACTGCTTTCCCTTTCTTTCTTCTCCTCGCAGAAAAAATCAAATACTAACCAATTATCTTCCTTTTGGATCTTCAATGGCGGTTTTCGGCCGCCTTGTTTGCCGGAGAGCTGCGTCACTTCACAGTTTCTGCACCAAATCGACGGAGTCCGACCTCCACCGAGTCTCGTCAGCTCTCTCTTCTTCCCTTCGTGTGGGCAATTCGAAGAAAGACAAGGACAGAAATGTCCAGTGGGTTTTCCTGGGTTGCCCGGGGGTCGGCAAGGGCACCTACGCCGCCCGACTCTCGAGCCTCCTCGGCGTCCCGCACATCGCCACCGGAGATCTTGTGCGCCACGAGCTGGCGTCCAGTGGGCCCCTCTCTTCCAAGGTCTCTTCCCAGCTTACTATGTGCTCATGAGATTTGGATGTGTCGATTTATTGCTTTGTAGGTTTCGTTTATATGCTCAATTGTGGTATATTTTGCTGAATTTTGAGAATAAATTGTTTTGCTTACTTGATTTACTTCATGTGGATTGTGTTCTGTTGCTTATTTTTTAGAACGAATTATTTTCCTTTATTGGTTTACTTCAAGTTGGAGTTCTACGATCCTTTAGCATGTTCCAGGTTTTTGCCCGGAGTTTGGTCACAGATGGTAAGTCCATTACCCGATAGACAGAGCCATTGAGTTATTTGGACCTATGAAATCTATGAAATCAAGATCTTTTCTTAATAAGAATTCTACATATCTTTTTTAATTATTATATTTGGTCCCGAGTTTGGAAATTCCGACAAAGGTTGAAAATGAAATGCTCACAATTTGCCAGACCTGCTTAGGTGAAAATAAGTTATGCTCATGCTTGCACATTTTGTTAATGGGGCTTACTTTCTTAGTCTTTATCCCAATAATACATGTGAATCCAGTCCCATAATTTACAGTAGTTTTACATTGATATGTTTGATCAGTAAATTGATATCTTGGGCGAATTTTCTGAGTTACGATGACCAAGGATTGAAATTGAGTACTTTTTTTGTGTGTGTGTGCGTGTGTGCGCGCGCGTGTGTGTGTGACTTTCTTATTGGTAATCTTGGTCGATGCAGGATCCTTTTGTTTTCACTATATCAACATGAGTAAATATGCATCATAACCATCAATTTTTCAATCCAACCCGAGAAAAGTAATTTAGGAAGATGCATTTAACTTATAGTTGCTCAACAAAGCTACTCTAGTGACAGAACAACGTAACAGAAAAAAGTAAAATTTTGTCAAGCAATGTGTCATAATACTTTAACAATGCGATTATTCCCTTTTGCACCATGCAGCTTGCAGAGATTGTTAATCAAGGGAAGCTAATCTCGGATGAGATTATCATAGATCTCCTTTCTAAGCGTCTTGAAGATGCTCAGGCTAAAGGTGAAACGGGATTTATCCTCGATGGCTTTCCTAGGACTGTGAGACAAGCGGTAAGCACTTGACTTTGGAATACTTTTTAGATCGCAAGCCTATGCATATTAATTGGAACTGATTAAGAATCTACTCAGGAATAATTCCAAAACGTTATCTATCTCTGTTTATTTGGTTAATTTAATCAAACCAGCTTTAGACTTGAGTTTTATTCTTGTGAGAAGCACTTTGATGTTTGAAGTGTGCTGTTTTGTAAATCTTCCAAGAATACCATATTAAAGTCTTGTGATGGTTTTGACTAGTTATCCACAAGATAACCCACCCTAATTTTCTTACCACAACGGTTAATTTTTCTGTCATTTCTCTAGTTGGTCTGTACAATTTAGCCAACACAGTTGAGGGAGCACATTGAACTCATACCATTATTTTTTATATTATATTTTTTATGTCAGTTTCTTTGCCACCGGTTAAGCTAATATAATAAATATAAGAGTGTTGCACTTTTTATGGAAGAGCAAATTTAAAAAAAAAAACATTATTGATTAAACCTTTTCATGCATCAATACACAGTGCGAGCCAAAAAATAAAGCTATAGCTTAAAACAATTGAGTGGTTTCCACTGCTTTCTATCTGTTCAGCAGTCGGCATTTGTCAAATCAACTTAACTTATATGGAGGCCTTTTCTGATTGCTCAACCCTTATTTTGATCTTGCATTAAGAGCTGCTGTATGTATTTTTGTTTGCCGATTGAAGTTCCACTTCAAGTGCATGTCTACACACATCTTTCATCCAATCATAATATTCCCTTTTATTCTTTGTTCTTACTGTTGGTTTGTTTTTTTTTTTTTTTTTT